AACAACAAGTATAGTATAAGCACTTGGATTGGCATTTTGAGGCAACCAGTCACTCTATGGGAGAAAGATGAAGCTTTCTGCTCCCACAGAGATTTAAAAAGCCTTGGAAATCCTATAGTGTCGCTGACTTGGAATTGAATCTATGGCACTTAACAACAGCGATGGGCGATGTGGTATCTGATTGTAGTTTTGATTTGCATTTCCCCAATGACTACTGAAGGAGACCTTGTGGTTGAATGAGCTAAGCACTGGGTGTTAACCAAAGGTTGTCAGTTTGAACCCATCAGCCACTCCAAGGGAGAAAGATGAGGCTGTTAGCTTCTGGAAAGATTTACAGCTTCAGAAACCCCATGGAGCACTTCTACTCCATCTTATCAGGTTCCCATGAATCCTGGTGTGGGCTGTGGGTTATGCACTGTGTAATGCAAAGTTGGTTTAAACTGCAAGGTCAGCGGTTCAAGCTTACCACCTGTTCCTTTGAAACCCTATACAAGGCCTCTATGGGTCGGAACTGATTTGACAGCACTTAACACCACCAACTCACTGGCAGTGGGGATTTGGTCTAATGACTAATAATGCTGACCATCTTTCCATATGCTTGTTTGTATATTTTCTTTGGTGAATTGTCTATTCAAGTTCTTTACCAATTTTTTTATTGGATGTTTGTTTATCTTTTTGTTAAGTTGTAGGAGTAATTTGTTAAGTTGTAGATGAATGTTAAACTCTTATTAGATGCAGGATTCCCCAAATTTTCTCCCATTCTGTAGGCTGTTTCTTCCCTTTATTGATAAAGTCCCTTGATGCACAAAACTTTAATTTTGGTGATGTTCAATTCATCTATTTCATCTTTTGTTGATCATGCTTTTAGAGTCACGTCTAAGAATCCATTATCAAAAACTAGTTTCTGATACTTTGCTCTATGCTTTTTTCTAAGAGTTGTACGGTTTTAGTTCATGCATTTGTCATCGTTCCATTTAGAGTTAGTTTTCATATATGGTGCCAGGTATGGGCCCAGTTTCATTCTTTTGCATGTGGAAATCCAGTTTTCCCAGAACCATTTATTAAACAGATTAGTCTTTCCTCAAAGAATACAGGTAGTACCCTTGTGGGAAATCAACTGACCACAGATTATATGGGTTTACTTCGGGACGCTCCAGTGATCTTTTCCATGTCAGAGACTTCAGCCATCTTTATGCTGATAGTCCATAACTACTTATCTGTAGCCGACACATCAATTCCACATCCAGGTAAGTGTGTGCTCACCATCTCCACTGAATCATCATTTTGTACAGGGTCACCGTGAGTTGGAACTGACTCAATGGCACTTAACAACAACAACAACAAAGTGAGAAAATGCATCAATGTACTAATGAAAGCTGATGAGGGAACTCTATAGTAATTGGATCAAGCTGAATCCACGATCAGTCCTCCCATTACAAAAGAGACACAACATACTTCTTGAAAAAAGCACACAGCCATCTGTGAAATATTCTTGCCAAATATATGAACCATCATCTGATCAAGTGTCTAATTCTAATTACCCTTTTTTTAAACAGAAAATTCAAGAGACAGAGGAAAGTGTTAAATGACACTATGAGATGTAATCAGCAAAATCCAGACTGAGGGAAACTTTAAAGGACAAACAACCCAGTATCTTCAACAAATACGTTGAAAAGGGGAAAAAAGAGAGGAAAGGGACCCTATAAATTAAAGAAAAGCTTTAAAGTTGTATTAACCAAGATGCACGTGTAGACTTTGGATCATGATTCAAAAAAATGAACTGTAAAGAAAAAAATATGAAACTGCATATTTGATGGTATTAAGGAATACATACTGTATTTTTTTTAAAAAAGGTATCTTTTAGAGATACATAACCAAATAAATTTTGGATTAACTGATATAGTATTTGGGATTTGCTTCCAATAGAAGGAAATAGAGAAGTAGGGATAACTTCTTGGTGAATTTTACTTTTAAATTAGTACTCCTCCGCTTTTTTTAATTGAACTTTTTGAGATAATTATAGATAAACAGGCAGTGATAAATAATACAGAGATCACCACCACCACCACAAACACACACAAATGCAGAGATCACATGTACCATTTACCCAGTTTTCCCAAATGGTAATGTGAAACTATAGCACAGTATCACAAGCAGGATATTGACATCGATACACAACATTTCCGTCACCACAAAGATACCTTGAGTCATAATAAGCCCACACTGAAAAGAACCCAGCTGTCCTTCAGCAGGTGAATAGTTAAAAACTCTAGTATACTCATGCCATGAAATACTAGCCATCAATAAAAAGTAGAAACAGGCAATGCCTCTCCAGAGAATTATGCTGAGTGCAAAAGGTTGTGTATTACATGAGTCTACTTGATGTATTGAACAAACAAACAAAGTAATGGCATTTATTGACTGATTGTTTGATTTCCACCCCAGGCCTTTCCCTTGGTTTGATCTGTCTGCTGTGCAACTCAAGGAGACTCCCTTCAGCCAGCATCTTTCAAAGACCACTGCTCTCCAGGACCACCTTACCCACTTTTACTGTCACTCGTTTGGCATCTCCCAACCCAAAGAAGACCAGCCAGTGGTTTCTACTAGCTCTCCAGCCCAATAAGAAAAGAGATCTCAGGATTCAGGATTTGTTTTTTCTCTCATAGATGAGTTCTAAAATGGTGGTGCCCTGATTACCACGATTGACTCTGGGAGTCATGTGACTATACAGGCACTAAGAAATCAGAAAAATGTACTGAGGCACTTTAAAATGTGGAATAAAGCAAGAGATCCTTTACATCAGTATACTTGTGGATATCTAGTGTTAGGAAACAAATGAAACAGCATAATCTAACCCACTTAAGAAAACCTTAATACAAATCATATCTCTCTTCAAGGCAAAATCAAGCAGTTATAATGTCATTATTAGATAGTTACATGCTGCACCTTCTGTTCTGGTAGTACTATGTAACTGTCAAATGACACAGCTTGATTTTCCTACCACTTTTTAATAGAAAAGCAAACATATGGGAAATTATCTTAATTGCATTATGATTCATTGTATGCTAATCTCATCAGAATGTGACTATTCTGGTACAATCTTATTTAAAGCTGTTCCCATCATTTAAAAAATAGCTGTCATTATATCAAATGACTAAAAATAATTTTGCAAAGTATAGAACTTAGTTCCAAAGTGCAAATTTGTTTACTTTCTCATGTTTTGCAAATACATTTATCGATTATAACAAAACAGAAAAAAATAACAATGACCTCATCTAGCTGGAAAAGGATGTCATTTACTATGTGGAGCAGAATATTATTTACTAAATGCCAAAGTGCTTTTGAACAAAGCCATTCACCATACATGTCAATTACCATGGTCTTTAGCTAATCATTTACATGTTGATTTTTACATGTGAGCCAAGCAAATTCAATGGTACTGTATTAGAATCGTTTCAGATAAAATCTTGTTAGTCCAGTGGAGGTGGGGAGGAGGAGCAGTTAGACTCATTACCAAATATTAACACTTGGTATAAATGAGGTCCTTCAGTGAGAAAAAAAAAAAATCCCAGATTTCCTTGAGTATTAATTTGGTATAGGGAACTGTACAGGGACCATCAAGGTACATTACTGTCCTTCTGAATTACATTAGCTCAGAAATCCTATACAGGGTCGATGTGAGTAGGAACTGACTAGACAGCACTTAGTGATCACAACAGTAGTGGTTTTTACGGAGCCCTGGTGGTACAGTGGTTCAGCGGTTGGCTGCTAATCAAAGATTAGCAGTTTGAACTCACCAGCTGTTCCTGAGGGAGAAAGCCCGGGCGATCTGCTTCTGTAGAGATTTGCAGCCTGGGAAACCCTGTGGGTTTGAGTCAGAATTGGGTTTGGTTTGGATAGTGGTGTTCAGGGTTAGGTGAGATTGGGAGAATCTGTGAAACTTGAGGAGAACTGGAGTCTTCAAGTAACCATAAATAATTTGTAGTTTCTTTTGTGAAGTTGTCATGGGTGGACTCTGGTCTGAATTTTATAACAGTCTGAAAGGTACTACTTAAAAGTCTTGTAAGCAAGCTCCAGACCCCACACCAGTCAGTTGGTGGTACTTCTCTAAATCATATTGTTTATAAGGGTGGTGGTGGTGGGTGAGTGCTGTCCAGTCCATTCTGACTCTAGTGATAGTAACCCTTTATAGGGTTTCCAAGGCTGTAAATAAATCGTTGTGAGAATAGAAAGCCTCATCTTTCTCCCAAAAACAGCTGTTGGACTTGAACCACTGAACTTGTGGTTTGCAGTCCAGTGTGTATCCTACAGAGCCACTGTGCTTCATTTTGTAAGGGTACTAAAAATTGAAAAAATAAATAAATAGTGAATTTTCTCTGGTGCCTAAAGGGAAAGGAAAGAACCCTTGCCCTCATTTTTCTTAAAACATTTCCTCCAGAAAACTTGTCATTGTAAATCCTCTCTCTGTTTCTGAGATACATGTAAACCTTCTTAAAAGTTAGTGAGTCTTTTACCAATTTTGTATCCCAGGGATCTTTCTTGGGGTCCTTGGGGACATCACTGTGAAATGTGAGCATCAAGGACAACGGCACCCTGTCCCCATCAGGTGCCTGGTTCCAATAGGAACTTCTTATTAGTCAGAAAGGTAGAAGTTTTCATTTTCCTTTGGATAAAGAATTCACATGAATGTAGTGGCTTTATCTGCCTAGCTACACTAAAGGGTGAACTTTCTGTCTTTGAGAACTCTTTGGTAGATTGTCTGTGATGCGCACTCTAGTCTGGTTTATGCTTATTCAGTTATAAAACTTTTTCCTGAATTTATGGAGAAGAGTATTTGGGTTGGCAGAAGATTTTATTTTAATTTCCCCAACATGCTTGTACTAACAGATGCATTGCTAGTATTTACCAGGAATTCTTAGAGTTAACCACAAAGGTAAGCATTACCACTTTGCTTAAACAAGGGACAGAGTGGTAAATTGATGGTAAAAATAGGAAGAAGTCAGCAGTTTTAACTCTGAAAAGGAGTCAGAAAAAAGGGAGAAAAAGAAAAACCAAAAAAGATCACACTTCTTCCCCAGTGTAATTTAGTTTGATCTTTTAAGCTAAGTGAAATGCCTTTTCACTTTGTTCAGTTTAACATAATGCTTGGTTCTCTGTAGAAGCAGGTATTTGGGGGGCATAATCTTGTAATCCTGCTGCTTGGACAAACTGAGATAAAGTCAAAGAATTGGATTTTTCCCCAGTATGACTTTTTTGCTCTAAAAACAAACCTATATTGTCCCTGTAGGGAAGGGTGATGGAACGTTTGAACAGGGGTTCTTCAATTCCCAGTAGCTCCCGAGTATGCCGAGAAATTATCTGAAATGCAAGAATAATATTAAATGGGACCAACCTGAAAATACAATTAGATCTAAAACATTTGACTTCGTTCTTTAGGCCTTTTAAATGCTAACATTAGTTAAGTTGTTTCTAAGGGAAAATAAAATAATGAAATGACACATTTAAAGGTTTACCAGCCTGGTCTTATCAAAATGAAGTTCTTAAGAGAAATAATACATGATTTATCACATTTAAAAAGCACCATTTAAAGATGTTTCTAGACCTTTGAATCAGATGTCCATGGATGGGTTCATTTCTTTCTTCTGGCGGAGCCATCTGACCAACCGTTAAGAGTAAATAATAGTTTCAGATTAAGAGCCATGGCAATCCCTGGGAAGGTTAATAAGTACCTTGTCTATAGGGGTTTAGTTAATTTGCAACTAAGAAAACATTTAAACCATTACTCAGTTACTCAGTTTGCTTGACTAAAAAAAGAAATCTCCAACACTAAAAAAGCAGACAATAAATTCATGCTGTTTTATTCTGTACTTTCAGATTCTTTTAAAATATTTTTGCTACTGTACTCAGTATTTCAATAACCTACTTTATATTCATTGAACACCAGGCCACTTACTATCTGATATTAAACTCTCATTGTTTACTTACCTTTTCAAATTCTAATTTAATCATACATAGGTCAGTTATAACTTTGTTATTTGAATTTGCATGTGCATATTAATGACCATGCTGCCCATGAGACTGCTGTTAGAATATGCCCAAAAGATACAAGACTAGAATTCATGCCACAGACAATTCTCAACCTGATGCAAAACTGATGAGAGAGAGAATAGGAAAGGCTGGCTGGAATGAAGTTTAGGGTGTTTTGTGAACTTTTGAGCCCCCAAGAAGATGGACTGGCACCATGGCAGCAGCAACTGGCTCAAATGTAGCAACAATTGTGAGGTTGGCAGGGGACCTGGCAGTGTTTCGTT